AAAAATTAAACTTCAGATAAACACAAAATTTTCACTCTAAATTGCTTGGGGAGAATTTCAGTCAAGACACATAGAAAGAATGTATATTGCTGAACGTATTTTAGGCATTTTTCCAACCAACTGCAAAAATCTACAATTAAACACTTATCTAAAATTAGCTTCCTTGTCCTGCTAGAATGATGTTTACAATAAGATTTTTTTTTTAAAAAAAAGTCTTACTACATTCATGTAAAGATTGGATTCAAACTGGTTACTCCCTGAATATTATCTCCTTGTATTCTCAAGAGTAAAAACTCTTTGCAAAGCCAAGTTTCATAGAAATTCTAATTCTGCTTATATTATTTCTCATGCTAGTTTAAAGAAGCCTTCCAACATAGAAAACACTCTTTCCAGGGAGCTTTGGATTTTGCAGCAAGCAAAATTTTGCTGTATATCCGGGGTATCAAACTGGCTGACTGTGGGCCAAATGGTCATGTGCAGGCCACACCCACTCCAGCTCTGTGAAGGGGGAAAATGATACATCACATGACAGCAACATGGCGTGGCGAGTTTGACACCTGTGCTGTATATTCTCTGCATTTACTGTCATGGAAAGATTACATCCCCAAAATGTTGAACTCAAATATTTATTTCTAGCATAATTTTGGCGAAATATATGAGTATCTCATGCACCTTAAATAATATTAAAAATTAAATATTTTTAAGTTCAACAAGGCAGACAATACATTGTGCTGCATTTGAAAAGTATATTGCCAGATCCCACACTGCATTTTTAACAAGCCAGAATGTAGGTTTTCCACTTAAGTTTGTCTATCCAGTCATGATAAACTCTGGTCAATGGTGCTCATCTCTATTTCTTAACTGAGCAAGCCAGAATTGTTCAAAGATGCTTCCATGGCCAACATGACTATACACGGAGGTACACAGAACACTGTTACCTTCCCACTGAAGTAGTACCTATTAATCTACTTGCAATTGCATGCTTTTGAACTGCTAGGCAAGGAGCTGGGGCAAGTAACGAGACCTCACCTTGTCACACAACACTGCCGGCTAAACAAGCTCAGCTTTAACTGCTGAGCTATCATGCCCCAAAAATGTATTCTATACATGCATAATATTTATTTGCCAGGAATGCATACCAAGACATGAAAAAGCAGAAATTAAACTATAGTGCCAGTTGATGATGAAGTACAACCCAAAGGCTTCATCTTGGTCTAATCTCATTTACAACTGGGTTCTTGTACCAACAAATAAAAATAAGAAATATCACTAGGGTTATTAGTGATAGGGTTTGTCCCATTTCAGTAACTTAAGGAAGGTTTAAGTGAGGTCACATTTTGATATTTTCAGAGGGATTGCTGGAACTTTTTAAACTCCCTTGATCCATCATTATCGACCATGATAGCTGGAAGTTTCTCATTCTGTTTTATGCTGGAATTTTAATTGTGATATTACAAATAGCGTTTTTTTTTTAAAAAGCAACTTCTCAAACTTATATGCGCACACTAGTTCCTGAAGAGGAAGCTCTTAGTTTGGAGCTGTAAGAGGCAGCACCTTACCCACCATGCCCCCCTGTGCTTCGGATAAAATCCTTTTTTTTTTCCAAACCGTACTCAGATCGATCTTTAGAGCATCGCCAGCCTCTTGAGCGCATTAGCTTTTGTTAAATTTTAAAGAAAGAACACTCAACTGCCAGCACATGGCTGCTGGTTAAGGAAAATCGAATCCCGACTTTAGTGGACGGCGGTGCTTCTAGCCCGAAGAATAAAAGGCCCACCAGAACAAAGAAGTTCCTCGGCTGAAGCCGGATCAGAATCGCTTCGATACACATTGGCTAGGAAGAGGAATTTTCCAAACCTCCAGCCTCATCTATCTGATCAATTCATCATCTCCGACAATACTGCCGCACGCCCATTAAACCTAAGCTTCTCTGTACAGCGCCAAGGGCTTCACAGAAGCGGCTCTTTTCATTTCAGGCCGGGAAGGCGGCGACATCTCGGCCCGATCAAATAAGATCAACGTGTAAAAGGAAAGTAATTGTTACAGAGCAGGGCCACACACACACACCTCCCGATGCCTCACATAACACACACACACACACACACGCTACAGACGCGGTTCAAGCATAGCCTCCAAATCACACTCGCTCCCACCCACAGGAACACCACGCTCGCGCTCCCTGACTGCCAACACAAAGATGGCCGGCAGGTCTCCACGGTTTATCTATCCCGCATTGCATTCTGGGCATCGCACAGATCTCTGGCCGGGTCTCCGCCTCCGGCTTTCCATGAGATCCTACGAGGGAGGAGGGAGCGCTGCGCACCAGAGCCGGCGCCTGATTGGTCGGACTAACTAGTCCGTCGGTGTTCGAATGGTCGAAATTTCGAAACGAGTTTAAGGCTCCCGGATAAGAGATAGTTTCAGAACAACGTGTGGGGGAGTGGAGTAGTTTCAGTGGTTGCCTTTCCGCTTAAATTGTACTGCTTTTTCATTTGAATTTACTCTTCTCCTTCTGCCACTCATCCGTGATTATTTGTTGTGCTGCATTACCCCGTTCATCTCCAAAGGCTCACCGAAACTAAGCAGATCGTTAGTCAGTACAGTAAGCCATAAACAGGGTAACAGTACGTTCTGTTCGTTTCCTTTCTGGATGTACAGTAAAGGTATGGTTTTCTTATTGGAATTTCATAGTGTGCCTAAACGTTTTAACTATGGTGTTCATCAAAAAGTCATCAACAATGGGAACTGATATAAAAATGCATTCATTATATGTGCACAGTATTACATTGCACATTGTACATTGCAATGTCCTACCTCTCAATGAATGCTTCAGCTTCAACTTTAACAATGCAAGAGCACACAATAGATACAAACTCAAGGTAAACCGCACCAAAATTGATTGCAGGAAATACGACTTCAGCAACAGTGGTCAGTGTCTGGAATACTGTATCTGACTCTGTGGTTTCTTCCCCAAACCCCCAAAACTTTAACCTTAGACTGTCTACTATTGACCTCACCCCTTTCCTAAGAGGTCTGGAGGGGGCATGCATAAGCACACCAATGTGCCTACCGTCACTGTTCTATTTTTTTATTTTTCTCATATGTATACATTTCATGTATCCATAACTATGTTTATACTTATACCTGTTACCTTATAATTGCTTGACAAAATAAATAAAATAAAAATAAAATAAAGTATTTCATAATAAATGCCATTTATGTTAGACTAGCAAGGACAATTACAGCTAAAATTTCCTTGAAAGCGACAGGCATTTAATATTTGGGATAAATACAGAAAAAGAATAAGTCCAGGTTTTTCCCTCTTAGCTTCATTTTTAAATACAAAGAAAGCCAAATTATTTGTCTAGTGGAAAGGTAACAATTTGCTCAGGATAAAATCTTTGGATTCTTACTTTGCAAGGGTATCATTTACCTGATTGGTCCTTTCAGATAAATAACACAAGAATAACTTCAAGAGCAACAGAGAATATATGTATTCAACGTACAACCATTGCTTGGTGGCAGTTTGAAGTTACAACAGCACTGAAAAAAAGTGGCTTATGACTGCTTTTCATACTGCCATTGCGGCATCCCCAGTCACGTGATCCAAATTCAGATGCTTTGCAACTGGCATATATTTTCTGAAATGTTTTTGAAATGTAATGAACCAGTTTTATCATTTTTCTTGCATGATCAACCTCTTTGGAAAATAATTCATATCAGAATGAAAAGTGTGTTTAAAGTTTAATCCCTTTTGTAACCTGCAATATTTTATTGAATTTTACCAAGTTGTATGTTTCATCTAAAGATACAGAACTAGTTGTATATGTTATCTGCAGAAAAAGTATTATATGCTTTTTACTGAAAAGGATGTTTGATTCCTTTCTTGGAAGAACGGATGTCAAATTATAGGAATATGCCTTGATGTCCAAAGTAATTTCATTTTTAAAGAGTAAATCTTGATACGGAATTCAATTTCTAACTGGAAATCATTTTCCATAGATCTTACTACACCTCAAGTTTTTCTACACTGGAGTCTGCATTTCAATTTTATGAGAACTTTGATCTCTAATGTTGATCTAATTATATCCCATTTTTCCAAGTAATGTTTTATTTTGTTAACCAGTAATAGCAATTTTAGTTTTTCCTTTAAAATGATGTATTTCATAGCTTTATGGGCAACTAATATATTTAAAATAATTTTCATAACATTTCAGAGTTTACTTAACTATCTTTTTATTCTTTTTATATGTTATTAATTGTTCATATTCTTTTAAAATGTTTAATATAAAGACTACGAAACTTGGTCATCAGCTTAGGTGGAGAAAGGAAATGAAGAGAAGATTTGGCGGATCAAGCACATTCACTTCCAATGGTTAAAAGAAATTTAAATATAAATTACAAATAATAAAAAACAGAACATCTCTAATAGCAGATATTTTTTTCAGAAAAACATTAAGATTCTAATATTTTCTTCCAGTCACTGTCTAATTAGCTTTCATAGCAAATATGAAAATGTCTTCAAATAGACAAGCTTTTTAAACTTACTGATTGCTAAATTATATCATGAATATGTTCAACCATTTATGCAATTTGTTAAAAGAAATCTAACATTTCCATTGGAGATATGCCTTGAAGTAAAATCCTCTAAATCAGGGGTAGTCAATCTTTTTATACCTACCGCCCACTTTTGTATCTCTGTTAGTAGTAAAGTTTTCTCTAACCGCACACCGGTTCCACAGTAATGGTGATTTATAAAGTAGGGGACAAAACCTCTACCGCCCACCATGAAAGCTGGAATGCCCACTAGTGGGCAGTAGGGACCAGGTTGACTACCACTGTTCTAAATGTTGAAAGCAATAATCCACTACTCAAAGTAGCATCTCTATTTTTGTCTTCTCATTTCTACATCAAACTGACAAAAAATTTATTTTTATAATTTTTAACAGCAAGAAATCACACAGAAAAAAAGAGGTTTCAAATATATATCAGATAGGAAGTACAAGGAAGATCAAAAAAGGCAAATTTATTCAAGCACATATTGCTGGAATACCAAAGGCCAAATTATGGCTTCAGTGTTCTTGCTGATTTATAAATATGTAATTAGTACTGTGACAAAATGTACAATGTTGAAAAAGAAACTTGGCTTTCCCAGGTTAAACTGATATATAAAACAATGTATTAAAATTGTTTAATGCCAACTTTGAATCTTTCTGAATCAGTCTGATGCTTACAACATTATAAACTTTAAACAGGCAAGTCAAACATGCTCTTTTACAGTAATACTCCTATTTTAGAAGAGAATCTCCTACACTTCAAGCACATGGTGATAGGAGGTTACTATCAAGAATGGAATGAGGAAAATTTAAAAGTATAATAAAGACTAGAACAAATCTTTAAGTATGTACACTTCTCAAAATATACATGTTATCTTTAAATGTAATTTAAACATGTTAGCATCTCACATCTTATGTAACAGCATATGCTCCCAGTTTTCTCCTATACCATACCACATTTTAAATTCTTAGTTGCAAACTGGGTCTACAAAATAACATAGCATTTTAACCATACTCAGAATTTATTTATGAGATGGTAAGATTAATTATAGCAAAAGATAAGTGTACATCACCAAACTGTATTTTGTTTCCTTTATGTTTCAATTCTTCAAGAATTCCACAATACACACCTTTTGTTCTATCATTGGCTAGTTTCTCATCTTCAGTTATTCCTGTTATAATGAGTTTGGGTTCAAAGTGCAGTAATCAAAGAAAAAAAAAAATCTATAGCCTTTCAATGCTACATTTTGGGAACAAAAGAAACACCAGAGTAACCTTTCCACTTCCATGTTATATCAAACTCTGGAAAAAGCATCACTCATTTCTACTTGCCACAAACCTGTGGTATTTCTCTTGTATAGACAAATATTAATTTTAATAATCTGTACATAAAACAATCTTTGGATTTTTGTTGAAACTCTCTCTAAACAACATTCCCTTCGTCTCAAGCAAGACGTGGCCACAGAAGAATTTCTTCTTGCCATCTGTGTAGGTTCTTGTGAATTCTGCTAGGAGGTACAGTCCTCTGAAGCAAAAGAGCATAGTGTCTTCATTTAAACAGTTGTCCAACTGAAGCTGTGGGATTCATTTTATAAAGAGGACATAAAAAGCCATGACAATACAGGATATTGCCACTGCTGAATGAAGTCTGGTACCAATGACTGCCGCTGAAAAACATCAAAGTCCATTTATTACTCAAACAATAATAAGCACATGTTATTTCATATAATTCATTCAGAATGAAGAAAAATAAAAATGCTTTCTTGCAATGCACAATAAGAGTGCACTGCTAACCTCTTTAGCTTCAAATCTTTTGATCTAACATTTCAAGCCAGTTTTTTGCATACTGCTCACAGAATCTCTTTTAAGGTTTTTCAACGTGTTATTGCTGGCATAGAATCCTTCTACAACTCTGCCAGTACTTTTGAGATCACTAAAGTAAAAGTCTACCTCTACCCAACTTGTTGATCTCCAACCAGTGAAAAGTGATAGCCACTTGCACACTGTCATACCACCTGTGAGTAACATAAGGTTAACCATGATTAAACCCTCCAGTCTCAATATGTATGCTAAACTAAGGCTACAGCTGAATGTAATATTTGCTTTATATAAGCAATATCAACCATTTCCAATTATATCAAAGTGTCAACACTCTTACTTTATCAAATAAACAAATGTAGAGATTTAAAGCTAAATCACAAGGGGAGAATATAACAGATGCTTAATTAACTTCTATCCACCCAGGTCCGATTTACACACCAAGCTAGCTTCCATCTAAACCAGAGTTTCCCAAAATGTGAAGGGGCATAATCTCCCTTGGGGAAGTGCAGAAAGAATTCCAGGGAAAGTGTGAGGTGGGGAGGGAAAGAACCTTTTAGTTGTTCATTGTCACAATAAAATCCACCTATTCCAAAGTTTTATTGTACCGTTTTCATTGCTCATTTGTGTTCGGATTTCTTTTTTAAGGGAGGTGTGTAAACTAAGATTATACAACCTAAAGGAAAGTGCGATGGCAAGAAAAAAAGAAGTTGTTTAGAAACCCTTGGTCTACATCAAATTGTCCTTCCTGCCGAAGATGCAATCGGCTTGACTTCTGCCACTACCCAACGCTTCTCCGACTCCATCGCCGGTCCAAAGTTTTCCTTCTGCTTTACCGTCTCGGTGCTTAGGGCTGCGTGCGAGATCCCTACCTTTGTAAAATACGCCCCAGACGCCCCTCTTCTCCGAGAGAAGCCAGGTTTTCAGGCGAGGCACCTTCCGGAAGTAGGCGCAGGTGCAAACGAAGAGCAAGCCGAAGACCAAGAGCCCGTCCAGGGAATACACTGCGAAGAACAGGGAAAAGAAAGTCAGCGCCCGTGGCGTGGACCGTTCTTGCTTTCGGGGGCTGTTCGGGGGTGGAGGGGGGAAGCAGGAAAGAAGGACTGACCCACGGAGGTCTGGGGACCCTGACACGGGTGGGCCGGCGAGCGGGAAATGCCCAACACTGACCCGGCCAGGAGAGCGTTTCGGAAAGAGAGAGAGAACCGGACGAAGAACCAGCTGCTCACCATTAGCCATGACGGCCGCCCCACGAGCCAAAGCCGAACTCGTCACCGCATCTCCAAAAGGAACGAACGGCCAGCGCGGCACCGGAACCGCCAAGTGAGGCTAATGGAGCTCAGATAGGCCAAGCGTTCTTGAATCCTAGAACGGCGCGCCTCGTCGTTTCAGGCAGCAACAATCAAAGACCGATACAACGGATGAGTCGGGCGACCCTCCCGCAGTTGCTGTTTGCAGTTTTATGTTGTTTTGTTTTGTTTTTAAATCTGTGGATCGGATTTCCCGTCCGTTTTGGAAGAAATGTTTGTCTTTTATTAAAATAAAAGTATCGGCTCGTTAGACGGGATACATGTTAAAGATTGTTAATGACCATTATCAATAATTTGGGAGCGACGCATCCGCTGCCAAATCAAAATTGAAAGTTGAAACAATAGCAACTAAAGTTTGTTTATTTATCTGTTTATTGTATTAATATCCTGATATTTCCCTTCATGCTTGCAGTCTACTGACTAGCCTAAAGCTGCATAGCGAGCTCCCTAGATATGGACTTGCACTACCTGATCCTAAAAAGCAAGACGAACAAAAGATAAATAATTATGTTCAAATAATTGAGGCTGTGGAGACTTTAAAAAGAATCGGAATTCGGAGGTGCTGCTTGTGCTATTATAGCATACTATAGAGTTCAATGTCTTCCTCCTGTAGGAAGTTAGCACCCACCCCTCTCCTAGAAAATTGAAATAGCCTAGGAAATATTAAAAAGGCAGAATATTTCCTCTAAAAAGAGTAGAAACTCAAGAAGCAGAAACTCACTTCAGAAACAGAATCTCACCCCCATCTTTGTTAATGGGTGGGTCATTAAGGCATGGGCCAGAATACTTTACATAACAAAGATCTGCAGGTAAAGCTATAGCAATTGCCAAAAGCCCTTTTAAGGGCATAAATCATCCAGCAAGGCTAGACCAAGCCTGGAACTCAGGACAGCCTACAGAGTTGCCCCTGGGAGTCTGACAACCAATGGGATACATTTTTTATATAGGAACAAGAAACACTAAGGTGGGGCCCAACAAAGGTTATAAAACCCAGACACTCTTAGCAACTCATCCCTTCTGGACCTTCTCTTCTCACCCTTTTTATTGATCTCTTCCCTTTCATTCTGGAGCTCCAGGCCATGTGGTCCTGTCCACCATTAAACCTTCCAAGCAGCCTCCATGTTTCCAGTGTCTTTTTCCCTACTTGGAACTGAACCCAGAAGAATATTTCTTTCAACACTCCATTGCATAAATCCAAGTTCAAACTTCCATAACAACCGTCTGGCCATTCTTTCTTGGAACACATCCAATGAAGAGGAGCCCATCACTTCTCTATGCAATCATTTCTATATTGGATTAGGAATTACAACTGTATGTATTGTGATTGCCCCATGTTAGAAGTGATTTGATATGCCTTGTAATAGCTGCTGTGAATGGCAACCAATAGAATTCTTTATTGGCCAAGTGTGGTTGGACACACAAGGAATTTGTCCTGGTGCAAATGCTCTCAGTGTACATAAAAGAAAAGATACATTCATCAAGAGTCCAGAATCATAAGGTACAACATTTAATGATAGTCATAGGGTACAATAAGCAATCAAATATATAAATTGTATATAAATCTATATAAATCGTAAGGATACAAGCGACAAAGTTACAGTCATACAGTCACAAGTGGGAGGGGATGAGTGATAAGTGATGAGAAGATTAGCAGCAATAGTGCAGACTTTGTAATAGTTGAACAGCGTTGAGGGAATTATTTGCTTAGAGTGATGGCATTCAGGGAAAAACTGTCCTTGTGTCTAGTTGTTTTGGTGTGCAGTGCTCTATAAGCATTGTTTTGAGGGAAGGAGTTGAAACAGTTTATGTCTGGGATGTGAGGGGTCTGTAAATATTTTCACAGCTGCCTTTTTGACTAGTGCAGTTGAAGAGACATCTATAATGGCCAGATTGAACAAGTCCACCTTGGAAACAGCCATAATGCTAAAAACCTGTGAATATAAGGTTGCTCAGCACTCATGAGCAAATTGGTGGCTCCCTGTGTCTTCTAATCTAAGACATTGCAGAAATCAAATGAAAATGAAGTCAATACTCTTCCTTAAGACAAGGGAAGCGCTAGATTTAGATAAAATGATGTGCTCAAGCAACTGTGAAACAATTTACACTAAAGGTGAGAAACAGCAGAAGTTGAAAATGCTACAAAAATAGACTTACTAACAAAGCCAAGCTGTGTTTTGAGCCCTACAGAGAATCCTGGGAATGTGGCAGATTGCTAGAGAAGAAGGATCCAAAACTGAGGATACCTGAGCCAAAAATAGTAAATGTTTTGAAAAGTGAAAGAGAATAGATAATAACTCACAATCACTTAAGGCACCTGAAAGAACAGGTTAGGGCTGGATTGCTATGGAGAAAATATATGTGGTTGGTAGGAGCTGAAAACAACTTGATGGCATATAATAAGTCAATCTGAATCCTAATCAGTCAGAGAACCAAGCCTTATACCAGGGGCTTTTCTGGACGAACTATTACGATAACCACAGGCAATCTACACAGTCAAATTGAGAAGGCTTGAACTGACAACATTATCCCTGGCTGACTTTTATCATGATTGCAATCATGCTTTCCAGTTGTGCTTTAATAGTGGCTTATTATTATTTACTTATGCTGGCAAGAGCCCATCTTGTGGGGTTCTCTGCTGTGGCAAACTGTTTGCTGTATGAAACTGCCAGCATCCCTCTTCCCCTCTAGATCGTTCATGGCCAATTTCAGGAAATCTGCCTCCAAGGAGAGGAACATGATCATCTCAAGCCTGCCCTCTGCTTTGTGAGGCAGACCCTGGGTGCTACATGAGTTTCTTCCATATTTCTAGCAACCAGTAGCTAATTTGATGGGCACAGTGATAAAAATAGAGTCTTTTGACTAATTTTCTTACTCTTGTTTTCTTAAGAATTTGCCTATTGTCATTGGCAGTAAATGTCATGTATTCTTCAGAAAAGGATGACTATTTGTACACAGAATGGCTGCTTAGAAGGGTATGTAGCTATTTTGCATTCATATCAAAAAGCCTTTAAACATATTTGTATGATCTAAATAGTTATATACAAACTACATTGTACTTAGTTATGATACTGTGATGTTCTACTCCAGCACTATCTTGTGCCTGTGAGATGGATGAGAACACATCCCCTTATTGTAGAGTGGTGATGTCTATCATTTTCAAAGAATATGGCTGAAAGTTACCAAGGAAAAAGTATGAGAAGAATAGAAGAGTGTACAAAAATTCCAATAATCAAAGAAAAGCAACAGCAAAACATTTACAGATGTTTTGGCTTTTGATTTTTAAAAACAGTGAAGCATCATGTTTTAATGCTAAATTGAAGATTTACATTTTTACAGTGCTGTAAATAAAATTGATCCAGGCCATCGCAAACTTCCCTGACTAACGTAAATTATCCTTATCTATCCTCTTCGAAGTATTTTGATGAAGTTTAGAATGTTAATGCATCTATGAATGTGTTCCTAGGTAATAAATTATGTTTTTATTGTTATTTATATGGGAAAGTATGTGTATGTATGCACATACAAACACACACACGCATAGACACATACATATATAAATTTCAAAATGACTCCTGCTGGTTTATATACATGTCACAAAAAAGTACATAAAACAAAATTTAAAAACCATTAACTGAACTCTACAAGTCTCCAATTCTTACAAATGAAATGTTCTATGGCAGGGGTCTCCAAACTGGGCACATTTTCTAGACTTATGGAATTCAGCTCCCAGAATTCCTCAGCCAGCCATGCTTGTTGAAATCCACAAGTTTTAAAGTTCCTTTTTTATTGTTTATTTTATAGGCTCTATTATTTTACTTCTGTTTATGCTCCTTTCATTTTCTTCCTTTTTATTACTGTAAGCTGCCTAGAGTAGCCCCACACAGCAAGATAATGACAAATCAATAATAATAATAATAAAAATCATCTGGTTGAGTATAATATATATAGTAAAAGGAGTTATACCATCAGATGGCAGTCTTGAGCCTCCATTTCTGACTTTCAGAATAACATTAAAATACAAAGCAATTATTTGTAGGGAAAGAAGTAAGTTGAGGTTGCAACACATCTGGAGGATGCCCTGTTGAGGAAAATTAGATAAAAGAATGAAGGAATGTGGTGTTTTAATGACAGAAAGAGCAAACTAGATTATTGCCTGGAATTTTCATTTTATAAATGAGAGATATCATGCACTATCCGCTGCTTTATGTCCTGACCTAGGACTTGTTCCCATTTGCCTCTGTAGAAAGTTAGCACCCACCCCTCTCCTAGAAGAATGAAATATTCTAGGAAATATTAAAAAGACAGAATATTATATTTCCCTGGATGAGAAAAGGAGAAACATGTTTTTAAAGGCAAAGCTGCTCCCTGTGCCCCCACCACGCCCCCTTTCAGCTCCAGGGTGATGGGATTAAGACATGGCGCTCAGGACATGATAGGATTAGCCCTCTACCCATCTAACAGCAGGGCTCACTATATTGCAAAGTCACCTGGGGATATTACATCACCTAGCAAGATTCAACCAAACCTGGGACTCAAGACAACCTACAAAGGTACCCCTGCATGGCCCCATGGGAGTCTGACAACAAGCAGGATAGATTTCTTGCCACGGGAACAGGAAGCAAGTTCAAAGCCCAACAGAGGGTATAAATCTCTCTCCCTCTCTCACCCATGTGGTCCATTTTGCCCAGGACTTCAAACCCCATGTGGTCCTGTCCACCATTAAACTATCCTTCCAAGCAGTCTCCATGTTTCCAGTGTCTTTCTTCCCACTTGGAACTGAACCCAGATGGACATTTCTTCCAACACCTCTTAACATGGCACAGTAATAACCCGATTACACCAATTTCCTACTTTGTTCCTAAAACCTTATCTTTACTCATCCTCTCATCTATGAGAGAATCAGGCTCAGGTCATTAATAGTACTAGTCATATAAATGTGGCACTTACACACATACCCATAACCCACTATTACCCAAGAATGTGTAGAAAGTTAGCACCCTCCACCCCTCCTAGAAGAATGAAATATTTTGGGAAATATTAAAAAGGCAGAATACTATATTTCTCTG